AACTTTGTTAAGAAAATTTTTTAAAATTATTAAAAAACTTTAGTATAATAAAAGTTTAAAGTTCTTGTATTGAAGTTATACAAAAATTATTTTAATTTTGTTATTTTTATATTTATAAAAGTTTAAAACTTTAATTAAAACTATTTTAGCAACTATTTAACCAAAATTGATAAAAAATTTTTATATATTTGAATTCTACAAATTTGTAAAATTTAAATAAAAAAAATGATTATTTAATCAAATTGTTGTTAAGATATCTTTAATAAAATTTTTAAGAAAATTTTAAAATATCTAAATCACTTACTATATATTTTTGAAAATAAGCTATCTTTTTTTGACAAAAAAGTTATACAAAAATTACGAAGATAGCTTATTTTTAGGTAAAATTTAAAAAAAATAATTTTATTAATTTTTTTATTAGCTATAAGTAGTTTCTATATATATCTATCAAAATTTTACTAAGTAAATCAATAAATATTACTTAATAAAAGTTGTTTAAAAGATAAAGATACACATATTTGAAATTTTTATACAAATCAGAGAACTTTTTATAAATATATTTTTGCTTTTTATATTTAAATATAAAATACAAAAATGTATTAATAAAAAGTTCTCTAATTTGTATAAAAATTTTAGAATATATGCATCTTTATTTTCCGAACAACTTTTATTAAGCGATATTTATCATTTTATTTAGTAAAATTTTGACAATTATATATAGAAACTACTTGTAGCTAATAAAAAAATTATAAGTATAGTTTATTTTCAAAACAATGATGTTTTTTATGTTTTTCCTCCAAAAGAAAAGGAAGTAGCTTCTTTTGAAAATAGCTTATTTTTGAAAACATATAGTAATAATAACTATGCCAACATTCATACTAGAACTTTAATCAAAGATATCTCAGTAACTACTTAACCAAAATTAACAAAATTTTTTTATTTGAATTTTATAAATTTGTAAGATTTAAATAAAAAAAAATTATTGATTTTGATTAAGTAATCGTCAAGATATTTTTAATTGAAGTTTAAAAAATTTTAAAATGTTGAATTATTATTATATAATGAAGCGAAAAAAAACCAAATTTGGGGTTCAAAAAATTCAGCCGTCTCCACCAGCCATCACGTTGTTTCATAATTGGAATTAACAATCAGAAACAATATTTATACTCATGTTGTCACAAAATGATTAATGATCAATGAAAAGTGTATCTCGATTTCATTACAATGACATGTATTAATGGGGCTTATCCGATCTAATTAATATAAAGTAGACAAGAGTTTAAAACTCGATATCAAATATTGAGTGACAGAGGATCGATCACATTGCGATCAACACCATATTTATACACAATTGTTTTTTTCTTTCTTTTTTTTCTTTTAAACAATTTATAATTCTTTAGATGATAATGCTGTAAATAATAATAATAATAATAATAGTAATAATAATGCCTAATGGGCTTATTGCGTTATCTTGCTTCTCAGAATTTAACTAAAGCCCCAAATTATTTCGAATAAAGAACAACTTAATTTTCTAAGTGCAACATTGCGTATCTAATTTTGGCAATTATTATAAACCTTTAAAATTTACTAAATTGGATGTATAAATTGCTATGCATAGATATATTTTTTTCCGGGATTCGTAACACCAATACTAATAACGAATCGGGACTTTACGCAGTAGCGTTGTCTTTAACATTTCAAGCTATGCAACATCATTGATAATATTTCTTTTACGTCTACATTAATAACTTTATGTCGAAATGCATTATTTGTCCTAATTATAAACCGGTTCTATTGTTCTTTTTTTCTTAAACAAAATGTAAATGGTTGTTATCTGGAGGTAACTGATTCTACAGGTATGCATTACGAAACTTTTAATTAGACTGTTTTACGAATGCATATATACATACTTTTTTTTCACGAATTCGCTAGATTATCATACAATCTTAATCATATTCACGTTCTTGAGTCTAAAACAAAATGACGAAAAAAATAGAAACCTGTTTATTGTGATCTTTAAGAGAAATATGCCATTTGCGAATCTTATATCTGTATACTTTTTATTCCCACGAAGTTAGATAATGCAGCTATTATGTAATACAGCCTCTTTTAAATCGAAAAATTTGAACCAGATCACCCTTTAAAATCTAATTCAATAATAGATTTAAAATTTTCTTTTTTATATAATATTTGTTTGATTTCACATTAAATTCTTGGGAAATTATTGAATTTTGTGTATCTAAGGACGAGATTGAGGTTTTCTTATTTGTTTTGTAAATATTTTACATTTCAATGATATTAAAGATCATCTGTAACGTGAGGATATTGTATCAATAAAGACATTCAAATTGGGTTATATTAACGTGAATCGTAAATTGATAATCTCAATGACAATATATGCATACGTCTTTTATAAAAAGGATACCAATTTGCTCTGCTCTGTTTCCCACTCCACTGTTGACTTTTATAAAAAAGCAATTTACTCTATAAAATGTCACACCACGCTGTTCAAGATCTTCTTAGCAGATTTTTATCTGTCCCGAGGAATTTCAGGCATGTGCAAGGTTTGTAATAATTTCATACAATGATATTTAGCCAATGCTTAAAAATTGCTGATTAATTTTATCTTTTTAAACAGATCAACGAGGAAACCACTTTGGATTCTCCCCATTCGATAGCGATCAGCTAAGACAAGCCCAAATTTTGAGTGACAACTATTTTCGTATCTCGAGAGAGAATGTTTCCAACGATCCAGTAGGAAAAGTAATGGCTCAAGCGCAACAAGACGCTGAGCAATATGATCCGGAATTAGTTCGTTACGCTCTTATGGTTTGGATTGTCCATGATCCTGAGGCTCGCAAAAGAAACCTTAAAATTCCACCATTAGGTCAACGTGCTCCTCATATTGCTGTACCTAAACTAGTAAATGCCGCTATTGGTGCTCCAACATCAACAATAGCAGATCCTCCATTGACCAATTTAGATTGGTGGAGAGAAGATCCTCAATTAAACGAACATCATGAACATTGGCATATCGTATTCCCTGCTTTTCCCGTTAATGGTGTAAGCAAGGATCGTGAAGGAGAAAACTTTGCATTTATGCACAGACAGATGTTAGCTAGGTAAATACTATATTCTCATCATTCTCATCACTTTATCATTTATAAAATCTATTAGTTAAATCATTACCAAATTTATCTTTTATAATAGATATGATGCTGAACGCATTGCAGTCGGTCTTCAGCCAGTTAAAGCATTATCCGACTTTTCTGAGCGTATCCCTGAAGCATATAACCCCGACTCTGATTTAGTATATGATCCAAATAACGCTCCAAATGCTACTAACGTACATTTTACACCTCGTTCCGTTGGAAGACAACTTACAGATTTGGGTATTTAAAATTACTATATTTGTATATAATAATTTCTATAGTAGAGATGGGCAAAGTAATTTTATATTTAATAATTACTTATAATTTATACTTTAATTAATATTAAGTAATTATTATATTATTAAATAATATATATAACCATATAATAAGGATATGAAGTTACAGTTAATATAAAATAAATTATAGCAATAGGTTTTATGATATATTTATTTGATCACTTTGAATATTAGATAAATTATAGCAATAGGTTTTATAATATATTTATTTGATTATTTTGAGTAGTAAATAAATTATAGTAAGAAGTTTTATGATGTATTTATTTAATAATTTTAAAACTAGTTTGTTTTTATATAAAATAAATAAAAAAAGTTAATTATTTGTTTTTTTTTGTATAATGTCAAATTGGCCTTTACCAAGTTCAGAAATTTAATATTTGCTTTATACATTTCTAGCTAAAAGTGTTAATTATCTGATTGGCCCTCTTTGGCAAGCATTTTTTCTAGTTTTAACCAATAAAAAATTTAAAACATGTTGTATTTTTTGCAAACTTAATAGATCTATATTAGACACTGTGGCTATAATGAGTTTATATATTAAAAAATGTTCAAAAATTTGTTTGGAAGTTCAAAAATATTCTTTTGATACTAACTATATTTAGCAACAAAAAATAGTAATAAATCTAACTATTATACAATTAAATATTTTATTAGATAAATCAATTACACTTTCTATATTAGTCTTAAATTATTTAATTGTTTCTACTAAAGCAAACAATAATTATTTTACACACTTACAAATTTTGATATATATATATAAATCTAATAAGTTATTATTGATAAATATAATAGAAGTTGGTGCATCTCTTTTATTTATAGATTCAAAAAAATTTAAACAATTTGTTTACTTAATTAATACAAATTATCATGTTCTAGCAAAATAACAACTTTCAAAAAATATTCTTAATAATGTTTACAAAATAGTTTAAATATTAATTTAGCAATTTATTTGCAAATCTAATTAGATTTCTATTGCAACTGATGGATAGACAAATTTTTGTCAAGATTATATTATAAACTTTATAGCTATTGGTAAAAATTGAAGAGTTAAACTTGTTAGAATTAAAGATACTTATAGAGAAAGTCAAACCTTAATTGTTATTTTGAAGATACTTTAATACAAATTGGTATTAAAAAAATTAATACAATTATTACTGATAGAGCTGCCAATTATTATATTAAATAAAATTGCTTATTTATAATTTTGCTATCATATAGTTAGCTAATAGTATAGTAGTATTATTCTTAATGCTAGCATAGTTCTGGCCTATTCTGACCCTAAAATTTTTGGCCATTTTGCTAAAATTTTGTTGCATGACTAATTTATTCTTTTTAAGTATCTACCAGCTATCTTAATAAATTTACTAACTGATTTGATTGATTGAAAGAATCAACTGTAAATATCATTTTGGTTAAAAAATCTTGGAGCCATAACTACCAAATTTAGTGCTGTATTAGTATATTTCAATATCATTTTAACATTAAGTTGCATTGCTAAATATGGTGTATAGCCAAATATAGACCTTGTTGCAACAATAAGTTCTTGGTAAATTGTTAAGAGGACAGATGCTAAAGACAAAGTTTTAAGTACAAAAGCCAAATTTTTAAATAACTAAATAATTACTTATTTTTCTTGTAGCTATATAAAATCAATTAAATTACAATCTTTATTTTTAATGACCTTAACATTTGGGCATAACTTTATTACTAACTGATTATATTAGAAGAGGTGCTTGAGGATAGTGGAATATGTGAGACAATATTATATTTGTTAAAATTCAAAATTTATAGTGACAATTGCATTTAAAATTGTGATCAAAGTTTAATAAGTGATTAGAAGAAGAAAAGACATTATTAGTATAGGTTGATTTAATAGTGAATAAAAACCGTAAAAAAATCATACATACCTGAGTCAATAAAACAAAAAAGTATTGAAAACAGGAATTGATAGGTGTTATTAATTAAAAAAATGATCAAGATTGTTATAGAGAATAATTTGAAAAATTTATGGATCATATTTGTATTTTGGATGTTAGAAGGTAAGCTATTTTTAGTTCATATTGGATTCAAAATGAACTAATTTAAAGAATAATAAATATTGAGTTATAAAGTACAGAAAGTCAAACTAATGACAACAATAATAAGACATACCTCAAAGAAATGTGCTACAAATGAGCTAATAAAAATATTTGTTAAAATTTGATGAATTTAATGATGTGATTTATTGACAAATCATAGGTTGCTAGATAACAAGGTAAAGATCACCTGGTAAATATAAGGATATAGTTATTGAAAAACAAATTATAATAGCAAAGTAATATGATTAGAAGATCTATTTAATAGTACATATAAAAGTTTAGTAGAAAATGAATTTAGTAAAGACATGTGTGTAAGAAAAAAACTGAAAGAAATGAAAAAGATAGGTATCTGTAAAGTCATAGTGTAAGGTCTAAAAACAATGAATAATAAAAGAAATATAAGATATAAGGTTTGTAAAAACGATAGATGATAAAAAGAAATCTGACATTAATTCATTATAATGAACTAGAAAAATTCAAAAAAGTCATATGGATAAGGTAACAATTTTATTTTATTTGTAATATATAAAGATTTAATTTTTTTATCTTAATAAAGCTTTCAAAAATCTTAATCTCTAAACAAATAATCAACAAGTCATTGCTACAGCATCTTGTTTATGCAAATTGGTCTTGTTATTTTTGCTGTAGTAATTTAATGTATTACATATATGCTTTTTAATAAATATATAGCCACTTACATAAATATTTAAACAAATTCTAATAAAGTAAATGATAAATGTTAATTGCAGATTTGATGAATAAGTTCTTAGATGCAGAACACCAAAACTGATCAACTGCTAAATAATTAGCTAGTATGTTAAATCTATTTTTAACAAATAAAGAAACCAAATTATCTAAGCAAGTTAAAATTATTAAAAGACATGTTATTATTATTGAAATAAATAATATTAAAGACAATAATAAAAGAAATAACTAGTGTAATACATAAAATAAAAATTAAAATATATAGAGACCAAATTTTTCTTATAAACTTTACAAAAAGACTAAATTGCTTATTAATAGTAATCATCTGATTTGACTTCATAAAAATATTATTTATTGATCATCTGATTTGACTTTATAAAAATGTAATTAAATTATGTTGTTAAAAATTCACTTATTAAATTTAAAGAAAATATTAAGACTTGATGTCCTACTAAGAAAAATACTTGGTAGAACTATAAATAAAATTTCTAAATAATAGGTTTAATAGGTCTAACATACAATATATTACCTTTTCAAGGCTCAGAGTAATAATTAATTTATACAAATCTCAAAATTCACAATATATTTTCTATATTTGTAATAATTAATTAATATATTGTCATTATGTAATAATGATAATTACATATGTAATAGCATAGTAAAATTATGATAAAAGAAGAAAATTTAATTTAAAAGTTTAACTTTTTTTTTTATTCAAAATCAAAATAAAGAGATGCAAACTTGTCAAAATAAAATTAATAGCAAAAGTAATAATATTAATCAAAAATAGCAAGAGAAAGACACAATTTTATAAAGTTAATTAAATTTTTATCTAATTATAATTTTAGAATTTAAAATGGCTAGAACATGAAAGTTGTTAAGAAAAAAAATGATAATAAGAGATGAACTTGCCTTTGTAATTAAGATATTCTTTGCTACATTATGTATTTATTATTTTATATAATTGTTAGCTTCTTTAAAATTAATTGAAACAAATAATTCAGTTAAAGGTCATGAGTTACAAGTTACGAATATAAAAGTTATAGTGAATAAAAGGAAAAGAGGTTCAAATTGTACTAATGTAAAAAAGAGAACAAATTATGAAGAATCTAGCTTGATTAATAGTAATAAATATCCTTTAAGATCAATTGAAACAAATAATTCAGTTGAAGATCATAAGCTACAAGTGATAAATATAGATGTTATATCGAATAATAGAAAAAAATCTTTGAATCATACTAAAGCAAAAGAGAAAATAGAAATTGAACCTAGTTTAATCGATAGTGATGATAGTATAATTTTATTTATATTTTTTACAATATGTAAATAATATTAACTTATTATATAATTTAGAAATAATTTGATCAAGTTCTTTATCTTCTTTAATTAGAGACAATTTGTCTTCTAAAAATAGTGCACAACAAAGAAAACAAGTATCAAATGCTTCATTCTTATTCTTAATAATTAAAAACACTTTATCTTATAAACAACAGTCATTTTCATCTAAAGCTTCGCCATCTTTTTTGGTCAGAAGTGACTCTTCTGAAAGTATATATAGTGAATGATTACTATCACCCAACATCTCCTTATCTCCTTTAATCAATAATTTTTTCAAAGATACTAATAACCAATGTTTATTAATATCAAATGACACTAATATCTCCTCAACTTCTTTAATTAGACCTTTCAAGAATAATTTGAAGATTTGCTATATCTTGTACAGCATCCCAATCTCATTAAGTTAATATTGAATATGATAAAGGCAGGTAGCCAAGGTTCTACAGATGTCCAAGAAAAAGCTGACAAGTTTAATATATTACTAGAAAAAGTAGATTTTAATCTATAATTTGAGTAATATTTTGGTGGTTCAAATATTTAATATTTTATTAAAATAGGATCTTGGGACTCTTCAGATACATTTTAAAGACCTGTTTTTTTGTATCTGTACTATAAACAAGCATATTATTGATGCATTAGTTAGATCTTTATTTAAAATATTCAAACAAATGCATTAGAATATACTACATTGCAGCGATGAGCTTTTGCTTGCTTCTGGAATTATAATGTATCTTTAAGAAAGGAACTTAGAAATTTAGTTCCTAAATTCATAAAGAAATATAAGTAAGTTTTTTATAGATAATTAATGTTTATTTAAATAAAATAAAAAGAAAATTAAATAATATTTTTTAAATTAACTAAGTTGAAACTACCTGAAATGAAGCAACTTTCTGAATATATTACAAAAAACAATTGGCAAGCCTCTTTAAAACACTATATAGATATTTTAGATTTAGAGAAGATATTCAGAAAGCAGCCCAAAAATGTTGCCAAATTTACCAAGTTCATATGAATAGCTTTTAACCTCTTTGTTCAAGAAAATTTTTTGAATAAAGATATAATTAATGAAGTCAAAGATTTTAATTTTATAATAGTTAATATGATTATATTTACAGCTGATGAAAATGAATCCTTATAGCAATTAGATTTTGGGTCACTTCTAAAGTTTGACTAGTCTATATTTCAATAAAACAATAAAATGAAATATTAATATTGCTTAAGATAATATGGTAAATGTAGCTAATATCACTTAATATTTAATATATATATATATATAAAAGAAAATATTAGTTTAATTACTAGTCATCTTTTAAATCTGTTGCTTTGAGAAAGAGTATTATTTAATTACTAGTTATTATTTAATAAATTGTACTGCTTTGAAATATATACAAATTATTATTAGTAATTACTATATTCCTGCATAGTAAATGTCAATATCACATTTCTTGTAAATAGTCATTCCTTTTTAATTTTGGTAAAATATTTAAATGATCATTTTTAGTAATAACTATAATAGATTAATATAAAATCAGATTAAAATGAAATATTGTGCAATGTAAAAAATAAATTAACCACCAAAAAATAAAAATTGTCACATTTTTTACAGGTAGTAGTTAGGATTAGAGATTAGTTTTAAAGTAGATTTTACAATAAACAAGTATAAGCAGGTTTTGGATAATTAAATAAAAACACTTTAATCTAATTTTATTATGGCCTGCGACAATAACTTTCAATTCAAATATATAACATGAACTTTATAATAATCAATCATATAATAAATATAATATATTACTATCCTATTATTTTAAATTACATTCTTATAAATATTTAATCCTTAATGAATTGTGGATATACTTATGTTGTAAAAGAGCTCCTGGACTATTTATTAGTGTTATTATTATTAAACACTTAGTAGTAAATAGTTAGTTATCATAAATAGTATATATTATATATTTTTAATATTAATGGTAAGCTCATGCTTTTATCTTTATTAGATTTAACAAAAACTTCTAACATAGTCGAAAAAGGTTTTATATTTTAAACTAAAAAAAAGAACTCAGACATATTTCTAAGTAAACCTAAATACTTATCTGTGACCTAAACCTACCAGAGTGGCCAAGGCTTATCTAGATTGAGAATAAGTAAGAATAAAAGAGGGTGAGAAGAGAATTTAATCCAGTTGAGATACCAAATCTCTAATTTAGAGAGTAGACTAGATATAGATGTATTAGAGGAATTTTTAGAAAAAACTATTGAACTTGAAGAAGATATAGTAGAATCAATAGGAGTGATATTGTTATTATTACTAGGAGCAAGGTTAGATTGTGATCTTGAAGTGCAGTAAGGAATTCAGATATTTGTATAGATTTATTAGTTAAAATAAAGAAGAAATTGAATAGTTAGAGAACAGGTGAATAGGGTTCCTCAAAGTCAAATCGAATTAAATATTTTGTTAATTTGAATTTGATTTGATTTGAAATTTCTGTATTTGAATTTGATTTAATCGAATCAAATTCAAATCAAATCAAATTTATTTGTAATTTTTATTAAGTATTTTCAAATCGAATCAAATATTTTGTCAATTTGAATTTGATTTGATTTGAAATTTCTGTATTTGAATTTGATTTGAGATCAAATATTTGATCAAATCAAATCAAATCAAATCGAATTGCGGAACCCTACAGGTGAAGTTGTAGAATAGGTATGGTCTTATACAGTATTGATAATATTGACTAGTACAAAGCTAGTAATTGTAGAAAACAGTAGTTAAATGTATGGGTTTGAAGACTGTTAAGGTTTTTGATTTGACTAAAGAGATGTTAAATTTGGGTATGAGAGATTTGAAGTTTACTAGGAGTTATGATGTGTTGTGAGATGTATTAAGAAGTTTAGTATTAGATTAGATGAGAGGCAAAATACCCAATGGAGTGCATCAGTATGTTGTTAGCATATATAGCAGGAGTTAGGGTAAGAAAGGTATCTTTTATGAAGAATATGTGGAGATAGAAGGTCATCAAGTAATAATTTAACTCTGAATGTTTTGAGTATTGATGATTAGAAGCTATGTGCAAAGTTTGTGACTTTTTGATTATTGTTAAGATATAGCCAGGTGGCATTTCAATAGATGTCCTTTGAGAGAAAGGACCATTGTTGAAAGCAATATTAGGAGGACTATCATACAAAAATATTTGCATTACAGATAGTTTAGATGCTGCGGTGAACTGGGAGTTTAGAAGAAAGCTATAACAAAAAGAGACAAATTAAATATTGTATATATTGCCAGAGTTAAGAGTAAGAATCAGTGCATTGTGATGGTTGCAAGCTAATTCATTAGCTTTGTTATTGAGTTCATTGTTTTGATGTACAGACACTTTGTGAAAGATAATTGAGAGATTAAGTAAAGAGCAAAAGTTTAAAAATGTGTTCCAGGTAGACCAGTAAGAGGTGTTTGAAAAGTTTGCTACAGAAGTAGAATTTAAAAAACTATTATATTTTGAAATTACAGATTGAGAGTCAGTGTAAATGTGAATTGTAGAGTTTCGGTGGACTGTGCTAATAGCTAACAGAATTGTAAGAAGTTTAGCCTTAAAGAAGCAAGGCCAAAGTTCTATTTGGGCTTAAAAAGTATGTTGTATTGTGTGATTGTTAGTTTGTAGCAAACTAATACCCATAAAGAATTGAGAGTTGCCTATATTTGTGACAGAACTATCAGTATAAAAGGTGAGATTATTTAAGTTACTATTTTGAGTAGCAATATACAGTAATAAGTCAAGAGCGGGACTAGGTTAAAAGATTAGCAAAGTTTGAATAGTTGAGATATTAAGATTTGGTAAGAAAGAGGGGGGGCTAGGGTTTGAAAGTATAATTAAGTGTAGGAGGTCCAGGTAATTTTATGAAAGTTGAGTGTTTTGTCAGGATTTGGACTACTGAAAAATTTAATAGCCAGGCTAGTGGGAATAAAAATAGTGCACTTGTTGGCAATGATATTAGAGTTTAGAGGACAGTTTGAATATAAGGTTGTGATTATAGAGGGCAGGGAATAGGGTGGGAGTGAATAACTTGTGATATTATATTGCCAGTGATTTATTAAAGCATAATCAGAATTGTTAGATTGGTGACAAGCTTTGCCAATAATAATTTGGTTATTAAGAAGAGTGATGAGCCATGGCTTGGGTGTTTGTAAAAGTAGCCAGTATTATAACTATAATAGTTAGAAGTAGGTAGACAAGATAATATGGGCAGAGGTAGTAATTGTTTGACTTTCAAGAAAGGTGAACCAGAGAGAAGTTCTTCCTTTTGGAATTTTGTTAAGTCTGGGTGAAATATATATCCAGCCGAGAAGACAAGAGTTGTCAGAAATAGTAAGTTGGTCAAGGAAAAATAAGTGATGATAACGAAGTTGCTTTTTGAAAATAGGATATTTGGGGTACAAAGCAAGAATTAATTTAAGAAATATTAAACTTTTTTGAAGAGTAAAAGGTATTGGAAGATGTGGATTAGAGTTGATAGAGTAATTAATAAATTTGAAGAGTTGTATAATTTTAAAACTTGTAGAATGTTTGTTGGGTCCATCAATAATAGGGTTTGGATGTGATAGTATGCTAATAGATGACCAGAGATTGTTTTGAAGTTGTTGAACTCTAATTTGAGTAGATATCTCAAGTAGGTCTTTATTGTTTAGCCATTTAAGAAAGTTGGGGATGTGGTGCTAGAGTTGGATATCCCAGATGTTTTTAATATTATAGATATAGGGATGTAGAAAAGTGCTGTAGGTATTGTATGGCTAAGTTTGGCTTTATGCATAATAAGGCCAATATGTTGTAAGGATCTTGTTGCAGAGAGACTGACTAAGTATGATATTCTGAAGTCAATATTCAATAGAGAGGATGATAACATGTTGATAATGTACCGAGCTTGAGTATCAGTAATTTGTTTAATATTGGCGATTTGAATGAGATGTGAAGATTCTGATAGTATAAGCTGAGATTGTTTAGATTGTTTATTATTTAGGGTGATCTAACATCCAAGAAATTTAAATGGCTAATGTGGTGAACAGACAGGTAAAGCTTGATTGTTAATAGTAATCAAGCTAGAATTAGAAGATTTGGAGTTGGTTGAGAGGATAGATTTAGATGTGTTAACTTGGATATTTGCTATTGAGTAGAAGGATTCTGCAATAGATATGATATTGGATAGTTCTTCTTGAAATGAAGCAACCCAAAGAGTG